AAACACCACCAACATGTAACGTCTCCGTTCTGTCCTTCTGTGTTCAACCTGCTTATGTTTTAACCTTCTGTAAAATAAATAATAGAAGAAAATCAACTCTATTATTTACGGCGCCGTAACCGGGTCACACAACATCCTGGTGGTTCTGGTTCCACTGAGCTGCAGGACTTTGTAATAAAAAACGATCCAACAGTGAGTAAAAACGAGACCGAACCAGAAACAGGAAGCTGCTCGGAGGTTCAATAAAGCGGCGCTGATCCGACACGGGGCGGGTCAGACGCAGGCGGCGCCGCAGGAACGAGAAGAACGGGAAGAAAAAGACGTTTCTACGGCCGTTCGTTCATTATTCAGTAGAACGATAGAACACACACGCACACACACACACACACACACACACACTCACACACACACACACACACACACACTGCTGCAGTGATTCTCTTCTAATGCAGCGAGCGCGTTCACTGAGTGGACGCAGGAAGTGATGCGATATTTAACAGGAGGACGGTGATGGAGCAGTAAGATACACACAGACACACACACAAACACACACAGACACACACAGACACATCACACCATCTCCTCACACACTGCAAAAAAAAAATGTTGATTTTTTTTGTAAAGTTTCCCTGAATAACGAGTAAATCACTGAAAAAATGGATTAAATGACACGTTACCTGCATTAAAATCTGTATTTTTACAGAAACTAGTTTGTTTTTTCATGTGACTGTAAAGTCAGATGTTTGTTTTATTAAATTCATGTAAATTAGAAATAAATAAAACGATATTTGCACTGATTAGAAATAAAAAAATATGTTTATCAAAGATTGAAAAATGTTTGTTTTTAACTGTTGTTTTGCAGATTTTCTGTTTTGTTAAATAGATTAAAAGGTTTGTTATAAACATTAACGTCCATGAACAAGATCTCTATTTTACAGATGATAAAGTCTTTTTTTTAAGTATAAATTATTTTATTTAAATCCCTCCAGACGCCGGTTCTTTATACGTCCAGTTCTTCTTCCACCTTTTATCTGGTTAATGGCTTCGCTGCTGCTGTCAGGAGCTTTCTAGTCTTTCCTGGACGTCTACATTATTTATCGCGTGTCAGAGGCTCAACATGGCTCCACGACTCGACTCTGACTCGAGTGTCACGACACCCGTGTGGGCGAGTCGGGGGACTCCCCGCCGGATCGCCTCCTGCATCATCAAACCGTCGCCGCCTCGCCGCTCCGTCACGCCTCCGATCGCCGTCTGACGGCGGCTCGGCTGGATCGTTAACCGGAGACTCGTTTCCCAAACGTTAAACATGGAGACGCTGTTAGTGCAGCCGAAGGCTTCAGAGAGCAGAAAATATAAAACACTGAGCAGCAGCACGAGAAAAGAAATAAACACACGGAAAAATGAAAAAAAGAAATTTAAAAAGAAGGTCAGGGTGCAACCACACATATCACATCACTAAAAATAGTTAAAAAAAAAAAAATAATAACTGCAAATATGTGTAAAATGTGATCATTTTAAATTTGGGGGGAAAAAGAGAAAAAAATAATATGTTATTATTATTATTATTCTATAAAAAGAAAAAAATCTTTTAAATCACGTCTAATATCTGCAAAATACAATATTTTTACTGATTTACTGATTTTGAAACAAAATAATTTTTAAAAAAAGGTTGTAAAAGAACAAATATACTATTTATAAAAAATACAGATTTTTAAAATAAATAAATTAAATTAACACATAGTTTCTGCAGTTTCACTACTTATTATCAGCAATTTAATATATTTTTTTAAAAAAAAAAGGG